TCTGTAGGTTAATTTGATTGTTAATGACCCATGATATGAATTTCATGTCAAAGATACATTAAAAAACATTCATTTGCTATTAAAGAAAACAGATGAACCTGTGCTGTAAATGGTATGATATCAAATTATTTTCACTCCCAACTTGTCAAATATTATTCCTTGCTCAAGCCGCCTGAATCTCAGACTATTTTATTGACGTGCAGGGTGCATGAAAGATTGAGAACATTACATTCTCACTTCAAATTTGTCAAATATTTATGCTTCGGGTTCAAAGCCTTCATGTCACATACTAAGTTATGGAGTAAATGAAAGGTTGAGAACATTGTATCAAGCGACACGCACATTATTTTTTAAACTTCACCATTGTTGGTATCTTTGGAGTGGATGGTGACAGGATACTGTTGTTTTTCGGGGTTTTTTACGTTTAGGGGTTAGAGTTAAGTTTTTATTTAAAGCTCGTAGAAACTTCTCCCAAGCTCCTCCAAAGCTATCATGCACCCTCAATGCTGAGAGGTGTTCCCTGGTCACATGCAGTGGGCCTGACCAAGTGTCCATTTTGGGAAAAGTAGAGAATGAGGATATGTTGTTGTGGCAGGTACTTACACAAATAACTACAATGAACTGCATAGTAAAAAAAATATCACACAAAAATATAACTCATCCCACGCCTAAAGCAACCAACAACGAACTTTGAAGGCTAAAATTTTTTTTCCTAATTTGTTGCGGGTCACGTCTGCAACCCCCATCTACCTTGGGCATCCATATTTCATTAGAATGGTACCACAGACACTTTAGCATGTTATCAGAAGCGAGTTTTAACATGGCATAGATATTTGACAATTTGGGAGTGAGAACATGTTGGTGACATAGCACAACTTCTTACAGAGATCTCTAATTATTTCTCCTCTCTTCTTTTTTTTAGGAGCCATATGTGAAACAACCAAAGCTGACATTGTGATGTTAGTCGACACCTCTCCGAGTGTTTCTCCTGATGACTTTGCATCTGTTGAAATGTTCTTAACTGAAATAGTTAAAAACGTTCATATTGATCCCAACGGTGTCCAGATCGGTATAACTTTTTTTTAAAATATATTTTCAAGAGTTTTATATGTGATGAAAGGGTTTTGACAAAAACTATAAAATGTTATTGATACCCAGGTAGAGCAGAAGCATGTAGGCTGTTTAGCCAATCAGAATGCAGAACACAATGCACAATGCAAATCTGTGAAGCAGCGAGGCCAAAAAAGTTAAACCGCGTTCACTGGGTTCACTGTAATGGGAATTTTTCTTTCTGCTCATCCAACACATCAGTAGCAAATGTATGATGAATACAAATAGTAACTTCTTACTGTTTGGTTTCATCAATGGCTGCATGCTTTTCAGAGGTCTGACTTGGTACAGTTACTTACCAAAGTCTAAGTGGGATCTGAACACATACAAAAACAAACTGTCCTTGCTAATGGCTCAAGAAATTACAACAGTTGCATGGAAGGCACATGAAACAGATCAACATTTCATTGACTTCACAGCTGATCCTTACCATGAGGTGCTCTGGGACTTCAGGTTCTGTTGGGATCCTCACTTACAAACTAGAACATTTCAAAAGATACATCAAATAAAGAAACACCAGCAATTATATGAAAACTAATCTACCAATCTAGTCATTTCCCCCCTCTTAGTCCATGTCAGGGTAGCAGAGGGGCAGGTGCTCTCTGGCAGTCTATGGGTAAGACGGGTGTTACACCGTGCACCATGTCTGTCGCAGGGCAACAACGCTGTGACAGACAACCATACACACACAAACACACTCACACCTACGAACATTTAGAGAAGCCAATTAACCTAGCTTTCATGATTTTATGGGAGGAAGCCAAAGCACCGGAGAGAACCTATACATGCAAGGGGAGGACATGCAAACTCCATGCAGAAAGAATCCGGCCCAGGAATCAAACCGAGAACCTTCTTACTGCAAGGCAACAGTGCCATCCACTGTCCACCCTGCAGCCCATATGAAAATTAACAAATATTAGCATTACTAATCTCACAGGAAAGGCCTAATTTTATTCTCTTTTAGAATATCCGTCCTTAAATAAAAATTGTACACACATTCTAGAAAATGTGACTTTTAGAAAAATACGTTTCTATTTATGTGTAGGCCCAAATTATTAATATAAGTTCACTATGTTTAACTTTTTTCCCTTAATGTAGGTATTAGTATATAACATAAACCTTCACCCCCAGATTTTTATTTATCTGTTTTTGGAAACATGCAGGAAAGGCTCTGGCTCACATTCTACATCACAGCTTTAAACCAAGTGTGGGGATTCATGCAGAAAATAAAAAAATGTTGTTCCAATCACTGCAAAAAGACCAAAAGAGGCTAGATTCCAAGAAGTGTTAAGTTTAATAATCTCGTCTATCAATCTGTGTTCTTAGTTCTTGGATTTTCATATCAACGACTCATTTGCTGCAGATATTCACCACGTTGTGTAAAATACCTACAGTGTATGCCAATTTAATTGCCTCTGGAGATGCTGAAGATTGTTAACACTTGTCTTAGATTTTCGATCCCTTCACATGATTATAGACCGCCTTACCCTTAGCCCCTGTCACAATGCTCCTAGACATCCTCTGTATAAACAGCTGCATATGAATGTGTAAACAAGATAAGGGCTGTAAAAAATAATCTACAGAGATCTGATGCCTTCAGGTATAAAACCTCAATTTTTAATCTTAGTTTATGTAGTGGTACCATACCTACATCTTGGAAGTCTGCTTTTGTCCTCCCACTTTTGAAAAGTGGAGACCCTTCCTTATTGGACAATTATCGCCCAATCTCTAGATTGTCTGTGCTGGCCAAACTGTTTGAATCTCTTATAAACGAGCAACTCAAACTTTTTTTAACTGAGAACTCAATTTTAAACCCATTGCAGTCTGGCTTTCGACAAGGTCATAGTACAGTCACAGCTGTTACCACAGTCACAAGTGACATTTTGCATCCTTTAGATAATAAGAAGTCTTGTGCTGCAATATTCATTGATCTTTCTAAAGCGTTTGATACA